GATATATTTACATATATTGCCAAATATTATCAAGCTCAAGCTCAAGTTCAAATTCAACAACAAAAATAAACACAAAATGTTCATTCCACACACATTTCAAGCAGGCTAAAAAGTATTTGTAATCGATTTATCGATCCAATAAAAAACCAATAAGATTGCGTAGTGGAGCATGCTCTAGAGCTATCATTAAGTATATCTTATTGTCACAACTAAAACAACAACGAAAAACAATCAATCAGATATCAAATTTAATTCACTAGCTATCGTACACGCACACAAAACATTCACATATATTTATATATCGATTAATATAAATGGGTATTGTATTGGCTACAGAATCGATGAATATATTTAGCATTTGTTGCCATACTTAGAGGTGTTTATTTTCCTTTTATACAACAAGCTAGTGCTCACAAAAATACACTCAAATATATTTGATAAGCGCTCGAGCAGGCGAACCATGCTAAAAGGTGGAGCTATCGATAGTAAAATTCTCTAATCGAAATACATTTCTCATTACACACACACGCACAAAATACTCAGATTCCCAATTAGATATATGTATATATATATATATATACTAGATATATCTATATATATGGCTAGTCCCTTAATAATACACAAATCCGCCCATCAATAATAATCGAATCGAATTCATCGCATCATTCGTTCCAATCACTTGCCAAAAACAAAATTTAACTAATGCACTTCAATGCACCTCACCTGAATCGAAATCCAAATCGAAATCGAAAACGAATTGTGTATCGAAATTGAATCAAACCACAACTGGCCAACCAACCACGCCCACCACTGTTCACGTCCACGTCCATCAACACCCACAAATACGGCAACAAATACGGCACCAATCAACCAACCAAAAAAAATACAAAAAAAATACCAAAAAAAAAACAGAAATTACCGAAATCGATCAAATATATCGAGTGCTGAAACAAGCCGGAGAACTCAAATCCGGGCATATTCCAGCCGCCGAAAAATCCGTCCACGTGCCGGGCAAAACGCTGGACGTGAGCGCCGCTGGAACGGGAGTCGGAGTCGGAGCCGGAGCCGGAGTCGGAGTCGGAGTCGCTGCACCCAGCGCCGTCTCACAACCGCTGCAACAGCTGCAGCCGGGCCTAGTCGAGCGTACGATGCCCGTCCCCGAGATACCCATCGTCAATGTGCCGGAGTCGTTGGCCCAAGAGACGCACCAGCCATCGGCCCATCAGCTACATCAGAGCCATCAGCGCAGCCTGGCATCGGTGGCGCAGGCGGCGGCGGTGCGGGCCGGCCGCGGTGTGCGCCCACCGCCCGTGGCCATGCCCATTTTGGGCGTGCAGCTGCAACAACAGGAGCTGCAGCAGCAGCGCGGCGGCCTGCCGGTGCCCACACAAGATATCTCTAGTAGTTCAGGTCCGCAAAAAACACAAATTGCAACAAAGTAGTTTTGTTGTCTCTCTCTCTCTCTCTAACTGTCTCTCTCTCTCTTTCTCTGTCTGTCTCATGATTTCATAAACAAAAATCTATTTATTTCGTGCAGTTACTTTTGACATTTTTATGGTTTGTAGCTTTGGTTGCCCTTTGCTCTCTCTCCCGCTCCCAATCTCTTTCACCGTCTCTCTCTTTCTCCCTCGGTTTCTGTTTCTGTCACACTCTCCACTCGGTCTCTCTCTCATCCACACACACGCTCTGTCTCTCCTTCTCACTCTGTTGTAGACCATCAATCAATTCAGTCCTCATTTCTTCATTTCGTTACGTTTCCCCCCGCCTCTATAAAAAAAAGTACAATTTCAAGACCTCAAATCAAATCTTTAAAGCAAAGTTGAAAGTATTGTACACAAACTAAACGCATACACACACACTCTCACATGCATACTACTAGCTACAAATATTTGATATACTCCATCTCTCTCTCACACACACACAAATATACTGTTACAATGAGTCCTTAAATACTTTTTAACCACCTATAAAGTCTGCTAAATGCTATTACTGCACTTGTTTAACTGCCAAGTAGCGCCTTTCCTTTTCTGGCCTCAAAACACACACATACACATACAGAGACAGTCACACACACACACATACGATTACACTTTTATTGCATTCAATTTCAATGCTCATTCTGATTGCCCAACCGCATACGTTAGATACATTGCGCATACGCCCCGTTGCTTCGCCTTGCCGTTGCTGCTCCTACGCTTGCGATTTAGATTTTGACCAATACATATACACACATATACATACATACACTAACACACTTGAGCAACGTAGCTATGCATTTTGTCTACACACTTACAAATATAACCAAAATATGCTTCTTCTTTAGCTAATTTGCCGATTCGTAGTTCTTAGCTTAGCAACAGCATTTAATTAGCCAAATATATACTACTAGTGCTTAAACTAAACTAACGTATTTAGTCTGTATGTATTTTGTATATGCTAATCATGTCATATATTATCACAAACACACAAACACACACCCACACACACACTAATACTCTCTCATATATATTTATTTATACTAATGCTAATAATACAACATTAATAAAAGTCGCATTTTGCGAGAAATTTAAATAGCAGCGCTTAACTGTTAAATAGGCCATTTATTTAATAACTATTTGACTTTGGGACTTGTGCTTCTGCTTCTATGTGTGCTTGTGAGCCTGTGTGTGTGTATGTATGTATGTGTGTATGAGTCTATATTTCCCCAGTGTGTCTGTGTGCGTGGCGCATCTGTGTACTTTGTGCTAGGCACAGATACATTGGCTGTGCTTCCACAAAATTGCCCACTCGTTGTATCTGTTATCATGACCCAAATAACAATTTGAATATTAAACAAAAACTACTACGGCGAATATTTCATACACTATAATAAATGCATTTTTAATTAACTATAACCAATTATAAATCAATACACAACGTGAATAATAATTGAGCATAATATAATAAAGTTTAAAAAAAAAAAAAAAACTCCAAATTGAACACTGAACTGGTCACATTTTATAGGGTATATAAACTTGCTAGGTGGGGCATATTGTTTGTATGTATATGTGTATGTATATGCATATATATATTGATGTGCATCTGTCCCGTTACAATATCAAAGGCAACCATGCAAGAATGATTTTCAATTGAAAATCGACGCAGCCAGCTGGCAACACAATTTCACACACACACACACACACGCACACACACATGCATGCATGCATGCATAGCATAACAGACGCTATGGGCGATCAACTTAAATGGCGTTGACTGTCGCACACTTAGTCGCCATCGAGTCGATTGGCCAGGCCAAAAGCCAAAGTTGGCCTCATAATTAGCGACAGATTCGTCACTTGCAACTGCAGCAGCGATTCCCAGCTACACATTTCCAATTAGCAAAAGTGTGCATGCGTGTGTGTGTGTGTGTGATTGTTGCTGTGCCTTGGTGGCTTTTTGGTCATTTCGCTTGGCAAGTTTGCTCGACAATATTTTATGGTTTATTGCAGCAGAAACTGGCAATTGGCTAATTTGGCCAATTTGACTGAGATTGTATGGGAATTATACATATATTGATAAAGTGCCTTAATTAAACACACACTCTCTCACACTGACACACACACAGACAGACATAATTTATTGATTGTGAAACAATTCGAAATTAACACACTACAAAATGTTTTCTCGTGTCCCTTCTCTTGCCACAAATAACTTGAAAATATTTCTGAAAAAAAATTAAAAAAAAAAAAAAAACAAAACAAAAAACTCTCAATAAAATGCCAACACACAACAACAACAACAACTACTACTTCTACAACAATTGACAACAACAACAACAACAAAGTGCTACGCTATGGCACGCCCTATGCGCCCGTCAGCAACATGTCCAGCTCGGCGTACATCAGCAGCGGCTTTGGCATTAACTACTACACGGCCAGCGCACTGCAACAGCAACAGCAACAGCAACAGCAACAGCAGCAACAGCAGCTGCAATCTGTGGCAGCAGCAACAGCTTCATTTCAGCAGCAGCAACAGGCATCGCCAGCACATCAGCAATTGCAACAACAGCAGCCGCCAATCTCTTGCAGCTATTTGCAAAATGATCCGGGAGTGCGACGTCGTCTGTTTGCCGGATTTCGACCATTATCGGGCTTTGGACGCTTGCGACAGCAGCGCTCGTCGCAGCAGCAACATCGCTCCATATCATTGCCAGAAAGTAATTACGTCACATACAGTCAACTGCAACAACAGCAACAACATAGACAACTACAACAGCCACAACAACAACAACAACACCAACACTATCATCACTTTTACCATCACTATCCACACGGCAATTACCCTGATACAACATATCCAACACCTGAAACACCTTTCAACTGTTTGCGTACGCAACGTGCAACACATTCGGTCATCGATTTGTGCGGCAACTATTCGTTTGAGAGTGCTGCTATCAGTATTGCGACAGCGACAACTGTAACAACAGCAACAACAACAACAACAACAACAACAACAACAACTCTAACAACAGCAACAACAACAGTTAACAGTTCATCATCCAGCACAACAACAACAACTACAACTCGAACAAGCAGCTGTTCTTATTGGAATAGTACTGCATTTTATTCCAATTGGATGTTTAATTCGTGTACATTTAGCAAGTGTTTTATTGTTGTCTCTCTCTCTCTCTCTCTCTCTCTCACTCTGTCTCTTAATGTGCCCTCTCTCTCTCTCTCTCTCTGTCTGTATGTGTTGTATTGTTTAGAGTGCGTATGAGTGTGCGTGCGTGCGCGTGTGTGTGTGTGTATTAAATGTTACACCTTAGTTAATTGCACCCACCTCCCCCTTTTCATTTACTTTAATTTCCAATTAGAGACGCGTCGCAAAAAAAAAACAAACTCCCGAATCCAACTTCACTTTAACAATGGACCCCAGCACGCCAATTAGTCTTAACCCAGTTTACACTTCAGGCAAACGGCTCATTTCCGGCAGCGACAGCAACAACAACAACAACAACAACAACACCAACAACAGCAACAACAACTGCAATTACAAGCACATTGCCATAATTTGTATACATGGCCGAGTTGCCAGCTGCAGAGCAAAGAGTGGAAGGGGTGAGGGGGTTGGACAGGGGGTTGGGGCAAGCAAGAACTCGACGCTGGCAATAGCAGCTAAAGAAACAACTTGCAGCGTCTGTGCCGTGTAAATTGCGTCCCATTGTCAGCTTTTGTGTATTACAGAGTGAAACGAAGAAGGCTTAAAGAATAGCAATGAGAGTGCAGCCAATGGGCATGCGCGACTAGCCGATGCCCTGTGAGAAAGTAAGAGTTTGATATGTTTAGGTTTTGCTCAACGGATCTCGATTGGCCAAGATAAAGAGATTGCCTGCTTGACTAGCAGATGCCCTGTTGATGATGAATGGGAGACTACACTCTACTTAGCATTGCTATGGGGTATACTCGACTAGCAGAGGCCTTGTTGATATTTGATACTTGGAATAGCAACTCTATTAATTGGAATCGATATGCTACATAGAAGAGCAATAGCAAGGCAACAGTAGGGCATGCACGACTTCGAGTTGCCTTGAGAGACTACTAAAGTGTCGATAAGGCTAATTTGTATACCCTATAGTAACTAAGCTAGCAGTTAATATATGCAGCCAAAGAGCAACTCGACTAGCAGATACCCTATGACTAAGTGACTAGCAGTAATAATGCAGCTCAACTCAACTATCAGATACTCTGTAAAAGACAACTGTCTTCATACTACTGCTCAACTGCATAGAAGATTAAGCCCCATATTTATACTAAAATCAACAGAAATCGATATATATCGATATTTAAACATGCAATCCGTAGACAGCTTCCATTTAAGCACATACAACTCTAATATAGGTCTGCCCACAAGTCCTTCCCAATTGCAGGGTATCTAGCGCAAGCTGCTGCACAAATAATGCAGCCGGCTGGCAATTTGCTCGTTTTGCCATTTTGCAGTGCACAAAATTGAAGTTGCGCTGGCAGTTGGGAGTCGAGTCGAGTCGRGTCGAGTTCATTTCTGCTTAATATTTGCCGCATTTTTAATAGCATTCGCTGATCTATGCACAGCCTTGCAAAACTTGGCTACTTCATTTTTGTCTCTGCTGCGCCTGCTGCTGCTGCTGCTGATGTTCCGGCTCCTGCTGCTGCTGCTACTCCTGCTGCTGCTGCCGCTATTTCCTCGTCCACTTCAGGCTGGCTGCAACATAATTATGCTGAAATTTGTTGTGGCGCGCATTTTCTTTTATTCAGCCCCTTCTGCTTTTTAGACTTGCCACTGGCGCCTGGGACTTTCATTTTGCTTACTTTCTCCTCTTTTTTTCCGCGTCCATTTGCATGTTTTCCTAACGGCGCCCTGGTCCGAGTTGGTTTTTAGCTTGGGGCACAGCCCAGACCAGAGTCCAGAGCTAGGCACAAGTCGCTGGCTGAGCGCTCCGGTCTCACTTTTTTTTCTAGGATTATTATTTTGCTCTGCTCGCCTCACTCTATATATCCTCTGTCTCTCTCTCTCTCTCTATCTTTCTGTGTCCCTCTGGTGCTGGTCCATTACATTGTGCCCGGCGGACAGTGTCTGTTTTATGCATGAACGCTGGCGTCTTAATGTTTAATACTTTTGCTTTGTCTTCGTTTAACTTAATTAGTTTTAATTCGCTTTCGCATGCCAAAGTCGAAGCCCACTAAAGCAGCTCTAACAATCGTCGCTACGCATAATAAAAATAAATCCAAATGAAATGATTATATATACCAATATATATATATATGTATGTATGTATGTATGTAGCTGTGACGAGAACCGATATTGTGCGTCCCTTTGGCGAGCCGCTGATGCTAACCAGAACCATACTCAAGAGCCCTGAGCCCAGTCCAGTCGATGATGAGGCCAAGACCCAACGACGCGTGCGTTTGAATTCAAATTCGAATAGAAATTAATTCAAGCAGCAACAACAACAAGAACAACCGCAACAACAACAACAAGAACAACAACTAGCTGACATCTGAATATATTTTGTTTTCTTCTCTCACTCTCACTCTCACTCTCTCTATCTCTATCTCTCTTTTAATTTAATTATATTTTAAGTCTTGCCTTAATACTCAACCTTGATCTACTTTTATTTCCTTTGTGTATCCGTAGCCGTAGTCTGAAAGCCTTAGCCTTAATTCTAAATGTAAATGTAATTGAAGCACAGTAATTATTATAAAATACTCAAACTAACTAACTACACACACACTTAAGCTAAGCATAGTACTTTCTCTCTGTAGACTAGTGCGATTCGCATGAGTTGTGTGCGTCCGCTTTTTAAATGTATTTTAAAGTATTCTTTTTAGTATTTTATCAATGCACCGCCACACACTGTATGCTTAAATCTGATTGTTGTAAATATGAAAAAGTACAGAACGAATAAAAACTGATAAAGCAAATATGCATAAAAGAAAAACAGTAAAACTTCTATGAAGAGTGCAATTTTATCGAATGTCCACAGAGATTTACACTGAACTACACGAACATTGTTTACTAAGGCAGCTGGCACGGGGCGCCTAAAAAAATCACACACACACACCCACACACAGAGACACGGACACGAACACAGTTGTTATACACACCTGAAACACTTGCTGTCTATCTCGCTCTCTACTCTCTGTCTCTTTCTCTCTCTCTGTCTCTGTCTCTGTCTATTGAATGTTGCTCTGTTGCAAAAGTATATACACATATATATCTATCTATAGTCTATGTCCGTTTTCCGTTTTCATTATTTTTTATAGTAACAAATCAAATTTATGGTATAAAAAACTATTTTAATTTCTCTTTCGTTTTCAACTTCTTTTCTTTAGTACTTAACTATTATTATTATTATTTTGATTTCCTAGAGCTGTAGACTGCAAAAATATAGCATACGAAAATTCTGAAAAATATCTCAATTAAATTGCAAATTTTTTTTATACATTTTATCGCTTTTTCGTATGAAAACCAAAAACAAAACCAAAAAAAAAACTCATGTGTTGTCTCAAAAAAAAAAAAAAAAAAAAAAAAAAACACCTGATCCAAAAATCAAACAACACCAACACACGAACAACAACAACAACAATTGTCGACAACAGCACCGCACTCTCCGCGCCGCCAAAAGCTGAATTTGCGCATGAAATCGTTGAGCTTGGACTCACCCGAATCGTCGGAGCTGCACGGTCAGTTTAGGCGACGCCAACAGCATTTGCCCGCCGCGGCAGCTGCGTCCACATCCAGCGGTTACTATCACGGCGGCTCGGGAGGCCATCTGGAGCACAGTACTCCGCCGTCGAACAACAGCCGGCTGCACTGTAAGTAGCTAACCAACCATCCCGCTCCCGCTTCCGCTCACCGTCTCAACCACACCACGAACGGAGCTTGCACCCTAATCTCCAATTCTCCAATTCTCAAATAACAATTATTACTATCAATGATCAATGCTCTTCAGCAAAGCCAACTGCGCTCTAAGACTCTACTCTAACTCTGATCCTCAACTCGAAAGACTATTCTATATACACATAAATAAATCTGAGATCTTCTACAACCAAAGCGAAATACTACACTCAGCTGGATAAGATCTAAATGCAGAAGTTTTCTCAAAATACAACAATTGCTTCCACTTTGTTTCGTTTTTGTTTTCGTTCACTAAACACAGCTCAAGTTTAATGTAGTTTTCTTGGCTTAATGTAGCTTGAATTAAAATTAAATATATACTCTTATTTTACTTTCTCGTAGCTTTAGCTAACCAGTTGTAGAATTCGCTGAGCAGTTCCATTCACCAAAAAAAAAATAAATAAATACAACTTAAAATACAGTCATACAATTATCATATCTCTCGAGTAGTTATTGAATATTTTCAACTTAAGGCTTAATTTGGCTCGAAGCACTCGGCCTCTACACACACACCTACACCCACTTTTCCTGCTCTATGTATCTATATAACAATATTCTTTTCATTTTTTCTTTTTTTTTTTTAACTGTAACTATCTTACTGTATCTTGTCTCTTTTCTATCATGCGTGCATTCAATTTACTGCCAAACCGCATTGAGAGTCGCACACACTCGCTCGCTCTCTGTGTGTGTGTGCGTGTGTGTGTGCGTGTGCGTGTGTGCTGTGCATGTACTCGCCTGCCATTGCTGTCGGCCATTAACACTGCAATTTCTTTTTCTCTTGCTACCATCTAAATTACAGCGCCATCGAGCCCCTCGCATCCGGGCCGCAAGCTGTTGTATGCCACGCGTGGCATGCGCGGCGGCAGCGTCGATTTGCCCGACGAAATGGAGAAGTCACAGTCCTCGGCCAGCACATCGCCTTGCCTATCACCCGTAAGACATGCCCAGGTATTCCCCTCACATTTTCGGTTTGCCTCCCAATCAATGTATATTGCTTTTGCGTTTCTCTCTTACTCTATCTCGCACTCTTTCTCTCTCTTGGTCTATCTCGCTCTGTCTATGTTGCCATTTGTTTCAGTTTTGCACTTTATTTCGATATATGTGGCATGTTGTTTATTAGCAGCGCCTTCTAATATCTTTCCAATTTCAAGAAATCGCATCGCCTCTTGCCCACCAATTTGTACGTAATACTCTACAACTTTAAGGCGCGGCATGCCGATGAGCTGGATCTCAAAGCGGGCTATAAGGTGAGTTATATGACCAGGTCTTAAGTGAGGGCTAAAGGGAATAAAGGCGGAAAAATATGGAAATTGTGGGCATTGTCTCTATTGAGTTAGGCAAAGATTTCTAAATGATTTGATTTTATTTGGTATTACAAAGCAACAAGGTATACATTATCTATATATCTGTGGAGTATACCATAGCATCGTGTCTAACATCAGATCTGCAGATAATCATATATCAGTTTTTCAAATCCTCATATATCAGATTTTCTTATATTCTTATATTAGATTCTTAGATCTGTGCTTTTGCCACAGATAAATATATTATTTATATGTTATATATAGTATAGTATCTCTTTATATCTATACCACATATTTTTTGTTATCAATCAGTTAGACTGCGTTTCTAATTATAAGGAATATAATATATCAATATAAACAGATACCAATAAATATAGTTCGCTTTGACATATCCTCTACTGTATACAATTTTTTCCTGCACTCATTGTGTAATCTGTGTCAGAAGACCTTAAATTCGATTTGAGGAAAAGATTTTCATTTACTTCAATGTATAAACATAATAAAAAATGCAGAATCAATTTACTTTTTCTTGCTATAACAAACTTTACCCTTAACTGTGGCCCTGAGACGCTTAGGTAAAGTCTCAATGTGACTTGCCAGCATTTCGGCTCACTTACGGATAATAGTTTACTTCAGCGTATTCCAAATGCATTGCAAAGTGGCCCAGAGAGAATAAACTAGTCGATTCGTAGCTGGTGAATTCGAGAGCCATTGTATTGTATTTCTCTCTCCTACATACATAAATAGATATATATCAATTAGATACAATATGTCAATTTGCACTTTGGCAAACTTTCCATGCTCGAGATTTTGTTAACTTTTGGCTTAACTTGATATATTACGTTGTTTATGTCTAATCAACAATGGCAAAAAGTAAACACAGAGAGACTAAACTGTTTGTGTTCATAATATAATCACCTAGCTATTTATAGTTGTTTATAGAGACAGTAAATTTAGCTTAAAGTAATAGATGATCAGTTGACAAATGAGCTCTTACAAGGAAAGGAAAGGCTAGGCAAATCATAGCTGTTGAACCAAGATATTTAAAAAATTTAAAAAGCAGAGAGTTCTTCAATCACAGGGTGATGCGCTAACAGGGTGTTGACAGTTTTATGTCAAGCATGAAAAAAAATAGTATTTTAGTCAAAAAATGCATTATTTTAATGAAAAGTTGATCGACGCTACTATCAGCTCAGCTGCAGCTCACTCACCTGAGTACAGCATAAAGTGGTCTATTTCACTCAGAGTTCTATCAACTACTGCAAAAACTGCACTCGAGCTCTTCTCTCTACTTCGCCCAATTACAATCCAGAATCTTCACTTCTATGCATTCACTTTGCATGCTCCACAGTGTCTGTCAGCAGTATATTAATATGCCACGCTCTCAACTCGACTCACTCACATATGCTTAGCATACTCTGCAGGCGCTGCAGTCGCTGCTCACTGAGTGCTGGCATTCAGTGCGCGTGTACTTTTCGCATGCAGTGTACAAATGAGTAAAAGCGCTTTGTTTAATCCGCTAAACTGTGAATTTATCTCGCAAACAAACACAAACAGCAACACAAACGCAAACACGTAAAGCAAGGACAATGGCTGTGCAGGAAATTGCTTGGGCATAGCAAACGCACATAAATAAACCTCCGTATGGAGACATATGTATTTGTATATGGATTTCTATATATGCGAATGCACAACAATATATTCAATATGCGCAAAAACAAATCCAAGAGTAAAACAACAGAAAGCAAAGAAACAGCTGAAGAGCAAGAGAAGCTGGTTCATTTATAATGTACACAGCGCATTTTTTATTATGTACACAGTGGGAAATAATAGAAAAAGTGCAAACAAAAAGGAGAAGTAAGAACGTTGCAATCGGGTGGGAATGACTGCATAATATAGTGGAAATATTCAAATGAAAATTATAATATATTTAATTA